ACCCTCTGGAGGAGTTGGGGCCTGTCCATAGCTGAGACCAAAATATCATCAAAATAGGGAAGTACTCCTGGAAGACCTTGGAGAATTCTCTCCATTAGTGATTGAAAAATACCTGGGGCCACGCTAACGCCAAATTGGAGACGTTTACACCTGAATGCCCCTCTATGTGTTACTATGGTTTGTAAATCTGCAGTGTGGCTGTCGACAGGGAACTGCTGGTATGCCTGTGACATGTCTAGCTTGGCAAAGATGATGCCGGGTTCGAATGTGTGCAACAGGTGCTGGATGACCAGAACAGGGTATGCGCTAACCTGAAGATAACGGTTGAGGGTCGTCTTATAGTCAGCACAAATTCTCAGGCTACCATCCTTTTTAAGAGGGGTGACTATGGGGGTCTCCCATTTGGCGAAATCTGTGGGTTCTATTACCCCTTGTTCAAGAAGTTTGTCTAGTTCCGCGTCCAATTTGGGGTGGATAGCAAAAGGTACTCTGCAAAATTTTAGGCGGACGGGAACTGCCTGGGGGTCTACGGAGAAAGAGATGGGCGTGCCATTATAGCAACCCAGCTTGCTGCTAAAGACGTCGGAATAGTCTGAGAATAATCTGTCAACATCTGAAGTTAAGACAGCATGAATCCCTGTTATATTAAGGCCAAGAGAGGGGAACCAATCTAACCCCAACAGACTAGGGAGGGCACCATTAACCACCACTAAAGGCAAATGGCCTTTGAAGGTTCGGAATTTAACAAGGAACTTGCCTTTCCCGAGGACAAGGATGTTCTTGCCTTGGTAGTCTCTCAAAGTGAGGTGGCACTTTTGTAGCTGCTTTCTGGTCAGTCTGGGGTGAATCTCCTTCAGCGTATCCCAGGAGATGATTGAGAGCGCTGAGCCCGTGTCTACCTCCATGCTGCAAGGTTTACCTTCTAGGGAAACAGAGAGTTTAATTTTATTTGGTGTTTGGGAAGTGTGGTTAGCATGGTAGCAAGTATAACAGTCTTCTACTTGCCTTTGGAGGCCGGGAGATGAAGAAAATTTCTGAGGAAAAGCGCGTGCTGCCTGGCAGACTCTTGCAAGGTGACCTTTCTTGTGGCAGTTTAGGCAGCTGGCGTTTCTGAACCTGCAAGATGCCCTGGAGTGGGCACCTCTGCAGGTTAGGCACAAAGGAATCTGTTGTGGGCCACTGCTGTTTCTCTGCCTTGCTCCTACCTGTAGTTGTTTCAACTGCTTGAGGCGATGGATATCAGAAAATTCTGTGGGGTCAGCTTCGGTCATCACCTCTTCCGAATGGACGGTGGAAGTACCAGGCTTGGGTGTGGTGCCCTGAATCTCAGCTACTGACTGGGCGGAGAGTTCAGCAGCTAGGGCTTCATCTACTGCTTGGGAAAGATTTAAATCTTTTCTTGCTAGTAGACGCCTTTGGAGCCTCAGATCTCTTACCCCACAGACGAGTTGGTCAAGAAGCATGTCGTCTAAATAATTCTTAAATTCGCATTGTAAAGCTGCTGTCCTCAAAGCGGCCATGTACTGGTTGATGGACTCCCCCTCAGCTTGCTTCCTCATCCTGAACGCGTAACGTCTTGCAATCTGGGAAGGCTTAGGGGAGTAGTGGTTCGAAAGTGTTTCTTGTAGTTCGTTCCATGGAACGCTTCTGATGTCACGTGGTGCGAAAAGTGCCGTGGCAGTGTCGAAGACTGCAGCCCCGCAGTAGCTAAGGAAGTACGATTTCTTCCTATGCTCCGCGGCATCAGCTAACCCAATGGCGTCGATATAATGGCTGAAACGATTCTTGTAGGAGTCCCACGTCTCCTCGTTGGGTTTGAATGGTTGAAACGCCGGATTGGCATTCATCTTGGGACCCTTGGTGTCGTCGGCAGACTGGACTATCTCTCTGGGTGGTCATGCCCCTAGGGCTTACGCTTATCGTGAGAGCTGGCAGCTGCGGCTACAGCACCCTAGACTTGCTCAGTGACTTCGGCTCTTGAAAGAGCAGTCTGTATCTCGCGCTCTCTGCGCTCGTTGGCGGCTGCGGCTAACAGCGCTGTAACTGACTTCAGCTAGTGACAGCAGTTTGGATTTCGCGCTCTCTGGGGAGCGTCGGCGACTGTGGCTACAGTGCCGTACTTCGCTTGAGTGACTCGATTCAAATGGCAGCGGTTTGAATTTCACGCTCTACTACGAGCGTGGGCGGCTGAGGCTTCAGCGCTGTGACTTTCAGCTCATATCGCAGCGGTTTGAGGCGGCTGCGGTTCAACGCCGTGGCTTCGCTAGGCGATTTCAGCTCTTTTGAATGTGAGTGCTTCTGGCTAGCCTGCGATCACATCCCACCTTCGTCGCCAGTGTTGTGGAGCGATGGAATAGACGAGCTTAGACCAGAGCATACAGTAACAGTCTTTATTCAGGGAATAAAGGGTTGTCGCATCTGCCAGCTAACAAGGCAGACTGCAAGCGAACAACGGCTGGCTCTGCTCGACAGCCGGCTTTTATAGCCGACTGTCAAACGGAGCCAACCAATGGGAGCTGCTGGTGCTCCCGCTCAAACAGTGGACCTGGTTGGGGACTCCAACCAGTCCTAAAGACATAACAGTCCCCTATCTCCTTTGCTATTTGTATTGACTTTGGAAGTGTTGAATAGAAATATTAGAGAAGATAAAAGTATAAAAGGAATGATACAAAATCTAGAGGAACAAGGTATAAAGATGAATTGTGTTGTAGAGCGGCGGAGATACGAGGCTGAGCCAGAGTGTTCGTTTAAAAGGCTTTATTCGGCTGAATAAAGGGTTGCCGCGTCTGCCAGGCTAACTCGGCAGATCAGCTGGCGGCAACAGCTGATACCGTTTGACAGCTCCCTTTTATAGCCGGCTGTCAAACGGTATCAGCCAATGGGAGCAGTCGGCGCTCCCGCTCGAACGGCGGACCTGGTTGGGAACTCCAACCAGTTCTATAGACACAACACTCCTTTCCCCGGGCCAGGAGCATGCGTAGTCCTGCAAATAGGCCGGTCGTCTGCGATGGCGGCAGGACTGTCGAAGTCCAGGCAAGTCGATGGCTGGAACAAAGTCCTCGGCCCCGGGGAGCGTCTCGGAGGTTGTTGGAGAGCGGGCTCAGTCAGCGAGGCCCTTCAGTGGATCAGGTAGGCCTCTCCGTTCCGTTCGTTTCTGGCGTGTCGTTTGGCTGGGGCGGTAGACCGGCTCGCTCGGTTGTGAGTTCAGAGTCCTTCGTTGGTAGACCGGGTCTGGCTGGGAGTGCTCAGTGTCTCTCGGGTTGACTGGGGCTGGTGGTGAGCTTTCGGCGTCGTCTGAGTAGACCGGGTCCTTCAGGGAGCGTTCGGCATTGGTTGGGTAGACCAGGCCCTGCAGGGAGCTTTCGTCGTCGGCGGGGTAGATCAGGTCCTGCAGGGAACTCTCGGCTGGGTAGATCGGTCCCGGCAGGGAGCTTTCGGTGCTGGCTGGCTGGGCTGAGTAGACCGGTCCCTTGGCGGTTGCTGGGTAGGCTGGATCATCGGTGTTTGCTGGGTAGACCGGGTCGCTTGGCTGGTTGTAGGAGCCATCAGCTGTGCCTCTCCACCATCTCCTCAGCTGGTCCACGTGTCTGCGCCACAGGCGTCCGTCTTCCAGGAGGACTCTGTAGGATCTTGGCCCTGCAACTGACACAACCTGTCCAGGTACCCACAGAGAGTCCCCTACACAATTCCTGGTGTAAACCAGGTCATGCAGGGCAAAGTCCCTGACCAAGCTGTCAGATCCTAGGGGGGTGTCTGGGCAGTAATGGGGATGTAGCTTGTCCAGGGTGGTCCTAAGGCACCTCCCCATTAAAAGTTCCGCAGGAGATTTATTTGTAGTGGTGCATGGGGTTGTATGTTGGCTCAGATGATAACGTGAGAGTTTGGAGTGCCAGTTTTCCTGGCCAAACCTAGCAAGTGCCTCTTTTACTGACCTGACTGCCCTTTCAGCCATCCCATTGCTAGCTGGGTGAAAAGGGGCTGTGAGGATGTGTCTGATACCTAAGTTGGCAGCGTACATACTAAACTCACAAGATGTGAACTGGGGGCCATTGTCAGACACCAGCGTGTCAGGGAGCCCATGGGTAACAAACAAACGGGTTAGAGCCTTAACAATTGCTTGAGTGGTTGTTGAAGGTAGTAGGGCCAAGTCTATCCATTTGGAATATGAGTCTACTAAAACCAAGAAGGTCCTTCCATGTACTGGTCCAGCCAGGTTGATGTGCAGGCGAGACCAAGGTCCCCCAGCACTTTCCCACCTGGTAGGAGTGGCTGCTGGTGGGGCAGGCCTGGTAGATTGGCAAGTTTGGCACGAGCTTACCCAGCTGGAGATTTGGGCATCCATGCCTGGCCACCAAACGTAGCTGCGGGCCAGGGCCTTCATCCTTACGATGCCCGGGTGGCCTTCATGAAGGACCTTTAGGATGGGTACACGGAGAGTGGCTGGGATGACCACCCTTGTCCCCCACAACAGACAACCCTGTAGGCTTGACAATTCTTGCTTGCGGATTTTGAAAGGAGTGAAGTCAGAAGTGTATTGTGTTTCAGGCCACCCCCTTCCCACCCAGTCCAGAACCTGGGAAATTACCCTGTCTTTTTTTGAGTGCGTTGCAATGTCTTCAGCTGTAACAGGCAGTTTAAATTCATTTACTTCAAAAATGGCATGAATGGGTGCTGGGTCTTCGACTGGAACTGGCAGGGGGCAGCGATTAAGGGCATCTGCGTGACTTAAGTTTTTTCCAGGGCGATGCACTAATTTAAATGAGTAAGCGGCCAGGAACAAGGTCCACCTGGTCATCCTAGGTGATAGTACCTGTGGGGTTTGCTTGTCCCCTGACAAAAGTCCCAGGAGTGGTTTATGGTCAGTTATGAGTTCAAAGTGGTGCCCAAATAGGAATTCATGGAACTTTTTTACTGCAGCTACTGCAGCCAAGGCCTCCTTATCTATTTGGCTGTAGTTTCTTTCTGCAGCAGAGAAAGTCCTAGAGAAGAAGGCAATTGGTGCCTCAGAACCGTTTGGGAGCCTATGGCTCAGAACTGCCCCAATACCAAAAGGGGATGCATCAGCAGCCAGGACCAGGGGGAGTTGTTGATTAAATTGGATTAAAACTGCATCAGATGTAAGTAAGGATTTGACTGATTTGAAAGCGTGGGCTTCCCTGGGTCCCCAATGCCAGGGGGATTCTTTGTCTAACAGTCTGTGTAAGGGCTCTGCAATGGATGCCTTATGAGGAAGAAATGAAGCGTAAAAGTTCAGCAGCCCCAGAAAGGCTTGGAGCTCCGTCTTGTTGGTTGGTGTGGATGCCTCGTGGATAGCCCTGACTTTGGATTCAATTGGGTGAATGCCAGAGGCATCAATCCTGTACCCCAGAAAGTCCACTTGCTTAGTGGCGATGGTGCACTTCTCCCTTTTGAGTTTGAGGCCATGCTGCCTGAACCTGTCTAGGACTGCTCTGACCCTTTGTATGAGCTGAGGTTTGTTAACTGCTGAAACTAAAATGTCATCGAAGTAAGGGACAACCCTTACCCTTGGAGAATCCTTTCCATGAGGGACTGGAAAATACCTGGGGCTACAATTACACCAAAATGGAGGCGCTTGCATTTGAATGCCCCCCTATGAGTGACTATGGTTTGCAGCTCAGCTGTCTGATCATCAACAGGGAACTGTTGGTATGCCTGGGACATATCTAATTTGGCAAAGATGGTGCTGGGTTCGAAAGTGTGTAACAAGTGTTGGATAACAGGGACAGGGTATGCGCTGACCTGCAGAAAACGATTGAGGGTGGTCTTGTAATCAGCGCAGATTCTCACTCTGCCATCTTTTTTGAGTGGGGTGACTATGGGGGTCTCCCATTTGGCAAAATCAGTTGGCTCTAATACCCCTTGCTTTAGTAACTTATCTAATTCTAAATCTAATTTTGGACGGATGGCAAAGGGTACTCTGTGCGGCTTGAGGCTAAGGGGAATTGCCTGGGGGTCCACAGTGAAGGAGATGGGGGTGCCAGAATAGCAGCCCAACTCATTGCTAAAGACATCAGAATAGTCTGTGAATAGGGTGTCTACTTCAGAGGTTGAGACAGCATGGATTCCAGTTATGCTAAGGCCGAGGGGAGGGAACCAATCTAGTCCCAGCAGACTGGGGAGGGCACCATTAACAACCACCAAAGGCAAATGGCCTTTAAAACCTTGGAACTGAACTAAAAACTTGCCTTTCCTGAGGACAGGGATGTTCTTGCCCTGGTAGTCCCGCAGGGTCAGGTGGCATTTCTGCAGCTTCTTTTTTGAAATTCTGGGATGAATCTTCTTCAGGGTCTCCCAGGAGATGATTGAAAGTGCAGATCCTGTGTCCACCTCCATTCTGCAAGGCTTACCTTCTAAGAAAACAAAAATACTTATTTTGTTAGAGGTTTTGGAAGTGTGGTCTGCGTGGTAGCAAGTATAGCAGTCTTCCACTTGCCTTTGGAAGTTAGCAGTAGGTTGAGGTCTCTGAGGGAAGGTTCGCCCTGCTTGGCAGACTCTAGCTAGGTGGCCTTTCTTTTGACAGCTTAGACAGATGGCATTCCTGAACCTGCAGGATGCTCTAAGGTGGGAACCCCCACAGCTCAGGCAAATGGGAGGTTGCTTGGGGGTGAAGTTGTTTCTTTGCCCTGCTCCTTCTTGCAAGGGCTTTTGTTGCCTAAGGCGATTTATGTCTGTTGTGCCTATGGGGTCTTCTTCAAGGGAAACTTCTTCTGAGTGAATAGTGGAACTGCTAGGTCTGATAGGAGTTCCTTGAATCTCAGCTGAGCAGAGAGCTCAGCAGCTTGGGCTTCTTCTATAGCTAAGGCTAGGGTTAAGTCTTTTTTGGCTAGCAAGCGTCTTTGAAGCCTAAGGTCCCTAACCCCACAGACAATCTGATCCAA